AATGCAGAGCAGCATGTTAGTTAACAGTTAAACTTGCTGAAGTACAAATTCTATACTCAGTTCCCAGATTAAACTTGCTGAAGTACCATCTATTGTGAGAAACGATAAAATTAAAATAAAAATAAAAACTCCGAGAACTCATCTAGTTATAAGAAAGCAAAAGCAATGACTACTATGACTTAATGCAATCCCAATTAGAAATCGAAATGGACCCAAAATTCCCTAAAATCAAAAGAACTAATCTTTCTAAACTACATTGTAACCATCTGCCAAATCCCAATAGTCTAATTTCACACAACCCCATTTCAGAAAATAACCCAAAACCCACAATTTTGCAAACAATTCCAACCCTAAATTCATTCCAAGCATCAAACCCATGAAGCAATTTTAATTTTGAACACCCACAAAAAATAGACAACAAAAGCAACATGAAACAAAACCCCAAATTGATGACATGGGTAAGCATTAATTTCATTCCAAATTCCAATCAATAAAAATCCACACTTTTAGAAGAACCCAGAAACAAAAACATAAGAAATCGGATCCAAAACAACAAAACCCCATATTTGAGAGAGAGGGAGAGAGAGAGAGAGAGAGAGAGAGAGAGAGAGAGAGAGAGGATTACCAAGAGCAATCTTGAGGAGGGACAAAAGAGAAGTTGCAAGAAGATGATGAGGGAGATAACCGAAGGTCTGGTGCTAGAAGGGAAGGAGCACAGCATGCGCAAGAGTGGAGATGGACTAAGGTCTAAGGGTTTTCTATTAAAATTATTGAAATTACACAAAAGTCAATAAACAGGTGATTAACGGGTGAAACGGGTTCACCCAAAATGACCCGTTATTTAACGGGTTGACCCGTTAACCACCCGACCCGTTCATCACTCACCTGAAAACTAATTTTAACGGGTCGGATCGGATCGAGTTAAAAATGCCAGGTGATAGGAACGGACGAGAGAAAGCAAAAAGATGAAAAGGCTATCTTTGGCTCTCTAACAACCTACCGGATAAGAAGTTAATCCACTAGAGATTCTGAAAGAAACATCCTAAAGCTACATCTAGGAATGTAACAAACAATTACTATTATAAATTTTCAGATTCGTGTAAGAGATAGATTAAATCAAACTCATTTAATGGTAACTAATGAAGTGGTGAACATTACTATCATTTTCATTATGTTTGGATGAAGAAATTTAAGATTACCAAGGAATTTTAAAATGACGGAAATTGAATTGACGAGATTTTATTTTCTAGAATCTATGAATTTTCTTGTTTGGTTAGCCTAAAAGAATAATAGAATTGAATACGAAAGTTTTTATTTTTAAGCTCTCAATCATAGAAATTGGGAAATGACGCCTAAGTACATGAAATTTAAACTTGGGAATTAGAGGTTCCAAATTCCAAGTTTTTTTTTCACGCAGAAATTCTAAATTTCTATGTTTATAAATCCAAACAAGAGAATTCGTGCATGTCAATTTACAAATTCTGACTTTTATCCAAATTTCACGTTTATTTCCATCATCCAAACATAATGTAAGGGTAGTGGGCAAAACCCGATTGTAACATAAAGACATTTTAAATAAAGACATTTTAAATATAAGTGTAACTCTTCAAATTACCCCTTTTATTGAGACCCACCCATTGGAGCTGCTTGGCATTTTACATGCACTCTAGTGAGAATGAATGCCTGTATCATTGTATCTAGCCCAGCGGCCCATTAGGAAATAATTGGTCCAACTTCGGTCTCCTCATTTCCCCAACAGATACCCAAAACCTAAAATTCAGTCACTCATATTGTCTTTTATTTTTTTCTTGTTTTTTTTTATCACGAAGACAATTTTCATTATAATAAAAACTAGTACAAGGTCTAAAAAAGACCGGGTAAACAACTACAGGGAATGTAAAAGGCCCAAGCAAAATGAGAGCAACAACTCAAGATACAATGGGAGGCCTACACAAGCTTAGGTCTGAAGGCAGCAGAAAACAGACAATAAAAAACCCTAATTTCCAGCAGCAAAAACCACATCATCGCCGCCGTCACATCCTCAAAGGAAGCCAAACTCGAAACTAAGAAAATAGACACTAGATTCAAGTCCCCTTCACGAACCCCTCTAAATATATACAAACAAAGTAATATATGGGAAGAAAGTGAGGCTTAGGGGTATGTAAAATACCCAACACTTGGCCTCGATGGAGATCTGGCATGGCAGTTGGGGGAAGGGAAGTGAGGGAGAGAAGTGGATATGATATCCAATTTCTGATCAAAGCCCGCCAATCCAAGCACATGGTGGGATAGGGATGAATTATCACAGTTAGGGAGGAGGAAGGAAGGGAAATAAAAGGCAGAAAGCAGTAAAAGCAGGCAAAGAATGCCGGATAAGGGCAAAAAGCCCCAGATAGTAGAGACTCGACTCAAGAAAAACTGAGATTAAACTCAGGAGAGAATCGAGAATTAAAAAGAAGGGAAGAAACTGGAAAAGATGAAGGAAGAAGAGAAGGGAAGTAGGGAGGGAAGAGCAGATGAGATGAAAGGAAGAGAAAAATGAAAGTGTAAAGGAAAAAGAACCTGAGAAAACTCATGAGGAAAATGTGAAGAAGGAAGAAAAAAAGAAAAAAAGAAAAAAGGAAGGGAGGATGCCTCCCACACCTAATCTAAAGACTGGGGCTGGCGGTGTAGTTGTCGGGAATCTTTCATAGAGAGAATTTTAGATAGAGAAAATGGGAAACTTTGAGAAGATGGGTAGGGCAAAACCCAAACATAGAGATTACAATCATTGTCATATATCATCTCCCACGTCCAATACTCTTCACGTCCTCCAATTTCAATGGTGACCTCCAACTCTCACCCTCTAACTTTGAAGCTCCTCATTGACAAAAAGCGATAGAAAGTCCTGTTTGCTGATGTGGCCAAGGACTTTGTGGACTTTCTCTTCACTCTCCTGAGTCTCCTCTCTCTTCCTGTTGGTACCATCATTAGGCTGCTTTCCAAGGATGCCATGGTTAGTAGCTTAGGCAAACTTTATGAGAGTATTGAAACTCTCAATGATGAATATCTGCAACCCAATCTGGAGAAAGATCCTCAAACCCAAAGAATCCGCCACTGCCAGGCCAAACATCCTTAGATTGCTAACTCATGTTGAATCAACTCTCAGAAAGATGATCTACATTTGTTCTAATAATAATTACTACCGTAATTATGAAAGTCTTCACACTTTTGGGAGTGAGGATCCTAAGGTCAAATGTCCAGAGTGAGATTGTTCCTTGTCCATCCCAAATACTTTTTTTACTTCACCTACTGCCGTGAAACACCTGCTTATTCCGGTGCGGGCAAGGTAGGGTATGTTAAAGGGCTTGTTACATACATGATACTAGATGATCTGGAAGTGAAGCCTATGTCTATCAGTTCTTGCATTGCTTTGCTCAACAGATTTAGTGAAAGAGATGTTGGAGTCCTTGAAGAAAAGGTGGTCAATCTTGGCTTGGATGTGGTAAGTTTACCAAAATTTTCTTTGTTTGTTATGGGGCTCATTTCTTTGTTTACCATGTGCTTGATCAATGGATTTGCCTAACTTAAATCCCCAATTCTAAGTTAAACTATTCGGGTTTTGATTTTTCTCTGCGCCCTTTTCTATTAAATTTGCAAACAACTCATTTCGAGGCTGAAAATTACACCCAATAACACGCTTCATTTGGTATTAGACGATACCCATACTGCCAAATTTTATGTTTCCTTTTTCCATGGGATTCTCTATTAAGCCTAATCCCTTAATTTGAGAAAGATTGAATCCTATACGACTTGTTGATAGTTGTGTGCTAGCTACTTGCTTCACTCCCTTAATTGAAGAAGTGACAGCTTTAGGGGTTTACCGAGTTAGTAGGATTTGCCAAGGTAAGGTTGCTTGTAACCTTATACCTATTTATATATCATTTCTTGTACATTCAATCAATCTATGAAAAATACATTCAAACAAACTTAAAACTTCCACATGGTATTAAAGTAGTGTCATCCTTGACCTGTCTCTACCCATTTTTTTTTTTCGTTGTTGTTCATCTTCAAGCTCTAGTTATGGTTGAAGAAAGTTCAGTAAACCTTGGGGGAGAAAACTCACAAAGTTCTCCCTCTTTTGTTCCAGATGCTGAGATAAATGCAAATAAACATTTATGCTCAATTTTGTTGAATGAATTCAACTATCTTCCATGGTCTAGAGCAGTGTCTCTTGCTCTCGGTGGAAGAGGAAAGCTAGGGTTCATCAATGGATGGGTTGAAACACCCTAGCCCTCTACCCAACATACGAAGCATGGTTGTGCAAGGACCAACAGGTCATTTCAATGCTTTTCAACTAAATGGAGAAACATATCGTGAAATCTTCAGCTATTTCGAGTCCTCACACGATCTGTGGAAATCTATGAAGGACATGTATGGAAATCAAAATAACTATGCTCGAGTGTTTCAGCTAAAGAGGGACATTGCCAGTCTTCAACAAGATGAAAAAACCTTTGTGCAGCATTTGGGAAGTCCCAAGACTATGTGGAATGAGTTAGATGTTTATCTACCTCACACCATTGATGTTGGAGTTCTTCTGAAAATAGCTGAAGAAGACAAGATATATCATCTGTTTGCGAGTTTGAACTTAGACTATGAGGATCTCAGGAGTCACATCCTAATGAATGTCGAACTTCCTTCCTTCAAAATCATGTGTGCCACGGTTCAACATGAGGGAGCTCGAAGAATAGTGATGAACTTGGAGAAGAATTCCAAGATTTCTGAGTCAAGAGTCTATGTTGCTGAACATAAATCCTCAGACAACATGCCCTACAAGGGTAAAAATCCACACTTGAAGTGCAGTTACTGTGACGTTGTAGGTTACATAGAGGAAAGGTGCTGGATTTTGCACCTCGAAATGAAACCTAAGTTCAACAAGGATCACAGATTGATTCCTTCAAGGCAATTCCACACTGGCTCATACAAACCTCAGCATGCAGCAAATCACAGCTATACCTCATTTCCTGAGAGCATTCAGGACTTCACTTCAAATCCTATCTCACTTATAAATGACTTTGCAACATACATGCAAACCAAGGGACACAGAGAAGCTGCAGAAAGCTCAAGGGGTACAACTAAAAATCTCACTGCACTACTAGGACAGTTCATAGGTTTCCTTGCTAAAAATAAGAATATACCAAGAAGCAAAGCTCCATGTATTTTTAGTGCATTCTCAACTGCTCTTCACATTAGTATTGAACATGATTGTTGGATTATCCACTCAGGAGCCACTGACTATATGACAAACAAAGCCTCGAACTTACACAGTTTTCAAACCTTATCAAAACCCTCTCATGTGTCAGTTGCTAATGGGAAAAATGCCATGGTATTGGGTGTGGGAAAAGTAAATTTGCTTTCAAACAACCTTGAGTCTACTGCATTGTTTGTTCCTATCTTTCCTTTTCAACTTCTGTCAATAGGAAAGATCACTAGAACCCTAAATTGTCTTGTCACTTTCTCACCAAGTAGTGTTGTGTTTCAGGATTCTCTCACCAAGAAGACGATTGGTGAATGGTTCTTCCTGAATGGTCTTTACTATCTATGCAAGGAACCTCGTCTAGTCAATGTTTTCCAAGTTGATTCAATTCCTTCTAAGGACCAACAAATCTGGCATCAAAGATTAGCCCATCCATTAGAGACTGTTTTGCTTAAACTCTTCCCCAAAATGTATCAATCATCTATAATGTGTGATACATGTCAATTCTCCAAGTTTACTAGGCTCCCTTTTAGTTCCTCAATGTCTAGGGCTAGCAAACCTTTTGAACTTGTACAGTCCAATGTTTGGGGTCCAACTATTGAATCTTTTGATGGATATAAATATTTTGTTATCTTTGTGGATGATTTTTCTAGAACAACTTGGCTATATCTGTTAAAATCAAAAAAGGATGTCTTCACTATGTTCAAAGACTTTCATCAACTTGTCATAACTCAATTTTAGTCAACCATTCAAAACCTAAGAACTGACAATGGCACCGAGTTCTTATTTAATAATATAAGTCAATATTTGAGCTCTCATGGTATTGTTCACCAGACAAGTTGTGTGGGAACCCCACAACAAAATGGGATCTATGAAAGAAAGAACAGGGATTTACTTGAGAAGACCCATGAATTGATGTTGCATATGAACATACCAAAAAATTTTGGTCACAAGCCATTCTCACTACAACCTATTTAATCAACAGATTGCCTAGTCGTGTTTTAGAGTTTAAATCTCCTTATGAAACTCTTAAAGGAAGACATATAACTTTATCAAATTTGAGAGTCTTTGGTTGCACGTGCTTTGTTCAAGTTCAAGCATTGCACTGTGACAAACTAGATCCTAAGGCTGCAAAGTGTGTTTTCATGGGATACTTATCCACCCAAAAAGGTTACAAATGTTTTCATCATATTACTAGCAAGATGCTTGTGTCTAGGGATGTAAGATTTGAGGAAACAATTACCTATTTCTCTAAGGAGGCTGCTCATTCTCGAGAGGGGGAGCTAATGTGTGATTTATTCCCTTTGCCTGCATGCATTGATCACTCAGTGCACTTGGATCCAAAAGCCACTAGCAATCATGAACAAGCAGAGATTGTAAGTGAAACTACTCATGTGTCTTCTCAACCAAGAAACCTGGAGGATGGTACTGAGCCTACTCAAGATGAAAGTCATAAAGATGTTCCCTTTTTACCTCCTACAAGGCGTAATCCTGTGCATGCTCGACAACATCCAGCAAGGCTTTGAGACTACGTCACTTTTTCTTCTAAACACCCCATCATTGAGGTGCTGAGTTATAGTCGTGTTCACCCTAATCATGCCACATTCCTGGCTAAAATCTCTCATCACATTGAACCGCGAACCTTTCAAGAGGCTCAACTAATTCCTAAGTGGAGAAATGAGATGAAGGATGAACTTCATGCCTTGGAGAACAATAAAAAATGGAGCATTGTGAAGTTACCACCAGGGAAGAAGGTTGTTGGGAGTAGATGGGTCTATAAGACAAAGTTCAAGGATGATGGATCCATTGAACGTCACAAGGCCAAATTGGTTGCACGTGGTTTCACTCAAACGTTTGGGGTAGACTACAAGGAGACATTTGCTCTAGTAGCTAAAATGAACACTGTTAGGGTTCTTCTTTTAGTGGTTGTGAATTGTTGATGGCCATTGTATCAAATGGATGTAAAAATACGTTCCTTCATGGGGATTTAAAAGAAGAAGTATACATGCAACTTCCGCCAGGTTCTTCTCAAGGTTGTCGATTGCACAAAGTAATCTATGGTTTGAAACAATCTCCACGTGCATCGTATGCCAAGTTAAGTTTAGTGTTGAAAGCTGCTAGTTTTTTTCAAAGTAATGCGGACTCATCCTTGTTCACCCGTAAAGGATTAGCTGGTCTATTGGTGGTCCTCATTTATATGGACGATCTCATCATCACAAGTGAAAATGAAGTTGAATTTGAAGCTCTCAAGAAATCTCTCAATCACACATTTGCCATAAAGGACCTGGGGAGACTAAAATACTTCATTGGCATTGAAATGGCAACATCTCAAAAGGGTTTGTTCTTAAATCAGCACAAGTATGTTATGGATCCTCTCATTGGGGATGAATTACTCCTCGATTGCAAGCTTGCTATCACTCCCTTTGATAGTAAGCTAAAGCTTGATATGGATGGAGAACCTCCCACCGATGTGAGTCACTACCAAAGGTTAGTTGGAAAGCTTATATACCTTCCCATAACCAGACCTGATATCACCTATACTGTGAGCCAGTTTAGCCAATTCATGCATGAACCATCTGTGAAACATCTTTTCATTGTCAAAAGAATTCTACACTACCTTAAAGGCTTTATTGGTAGAGGTATTCTTATGAAGAACAACCAATCCACTCCAATCAGTGGTTACACTGATGCATATTGGGCCGGAAGTGAAATTAATAGGAAGTCTACCATTGGCTATTGTACGTTTGTTGGAGGAAACATCATCACATGGAAAAGCAAAAAATAGCAAGTTATTCTAGTGCGGAGCCTGAATATTGTGCAATGGCATCAACAACATGTGAGTTAATTTGGCTCAAAGGGTTACTTTTAGACTTGGGATTCTCTAGTTCTACTCCAATGTCACTCATGTGTGACAATCAAGCAGCCATGCATATCGTTGCTAATCCCGTGTTCCATGAAAGGACCAAACATATTAAGGTGGACTGTCACTACATTAGGGCACAAGTTCAATCCCAAGTTATTCAAACCATATATACTCGCAGTCATGATCAATTAGCAGATGTGTTCACAAAAGCACTTCCTTCAATTCCTTTTCAGCGTCTCCCTGACAAGCTTGGCTCGATCAATCTCCTCGATCCAGCTTGAAGGGGAGTATTAGACAATGGTGACTAATAACCATGCTACCAGATTTTATGTTTCATCTTTCCATGAGATTCTCTATTAAGCCTAATCCCTTAATTTGAGGAATATTGACATCTAGATGACTTGTTGATAGTTGTGTGCTAGCTACTTGTTGCACTCCAGGAGCGACAACTTTAGGGGTTTACCGGGTTAGTAGGATTTGCCAAGGTAGGGCTGCTTGTAACCTTCTACCTTATTATATATCCCCTCTTGTACATTCAATCAATCTATGAAAAATACATTCAAACAAACTTAAAACTTCCACATTTGGTGAACAAATTTGACGACTCAAGCATATCACTCTAGGTACATAGTAACGTCAATCATAGTGTTGGATATGCTTTTCTAACAATCTTCATCATACTACCGTACTTGCTTCTGAATAATTTAAAACTTTGGTGGACATCCTTACCACGAAAACAAAGGATTGAATTGAAATTTAACATGAAGTTTTTGAACTTCTTATTGATTTCAATAGATCTATCAAGGAGGGAATCAATAGGGACATTAAATTTGGCATGTTTTGAGTCCTGAACCAATTACACACATCATTTTCGATTGATCAATAAGCACTACTTGATACACAACTGCACTGCTACTACCATTTTATTCAGATAATCAACCATTTTTCTTGTGCTTTTTTAGGGTATAAAACTGCTCAAGGCGTCACTGCAGTCAAAGTTCTCACTGATGTCTTTCTTAGGGGGAATATTAAGGCCGAATGAACATCTCAACTTTGCACCTCACCAAGTACTGAAATTGGTGGCATTTTGAAGCTAGCTTATCTGAGATTAAATGCAACATTGTGTCGTTCTTTTCGGATTATTTCAAATTTTCTGTTTTCCTGTCTTTGGATTTTCAAACTATATGTATGCCTTGAAAAACTTAATTGGATCGAAAGGATTAGAAGTTAATCATTGCGACATCTTCTAGTGGGATATACAACAAAGTCGCACAAAAAAGAACTCAAGGGTGAATCCAATCAAGCAATGCTTGAGTAGGGCCGTCCTTGAGATTTTAGAGGTAGATGATCCCTCCTTAAAATAGCTTAAGTTTTTTTTTTAAAAAGTAGGACAATGTATGGATGCTAGAAAACATTCACTTAATTCAAAACAAAGTCACTTAGTACTACGGCTTAGTGATATTCCTCTTCACTTATAAGTGAGAAGCTTTAAGTTTGATTTTTGCCAAAGGAGAATTTGAATCACATTATTGCTAACCCATTGTGATGCTTAGCCCACTCATTCACTGACACACCCCGTCCCGAAGGAGGGCATGCTGGCCGTCACGTGAGAGTGACGTAACCATTTGCACAGTACGGAAGCTTTAAGATACAATTTATAAGTTGATACACCCGAAGGTGAGTCCTAATTTTGTCCAATCTGTCAGAACACCGTCGAATTCCTCGTAGTCACCACACCTTTGTGATTCCTGAACCTGGAGGGGCGCAAAACCAAAATTGAGTGGGTCAGTAAAACAATTCTTTTTCCAAATCCAAACATTTCTCAATACGTTGTAACCCCTCTCTGTAAAACCTGTATACTTTCCCAGAAATGTAAAATATAAATATACATATATATCTCAACATTTTTCTTTATCAATCATGCCATGCCATGTCTAATTCAACAGTTAAGTATGGATGCATCAACAATAATCATATCAGGTGCAAGAAAGTAATCAACCGAAGACCCTCTAATAGTCCTGTACGGTTGAATCTAGAGCTCAAAATCTATCACTATCACTCTGCCGGAGTCACCTCTGTGACCTGTCCGGCCTTCTGCACATAAGTTACGCTCTAGTGCTTTCTCATCAATCATCTGTGCACATAATCTAAGGTCACCCACCAGTCGAAATCTCACTAACACTCTTCGACTGGCCCGTCGCACCCACTCCGCGTGGACTGTGCGACCAGCATCTACTTGGATCCAAGGCGAGCGTGCGATGCGGTGAATACTATAAGCACTAAACCATGGTGCAGGATTTGAGCTCAATATACATCAACATCATCATAACAATATTTAAATACTCACCTGATACTCACCTGTGCGTCCGCCGCACCATTCATTCATATGCATCATATCTCAATTTCATACTTTTCATATCATTTCATGCATGGCAATTCGATTCACATTTCCATATATATTTCATATACTTCTATGCATGACCTTTCAATTCACGTTTTCATATAATTCTATATACCTTTCGTTTAAAACATAATTTCATTCTAATTCAATTTCTGGGAAAACGTCAAGTATATATATATACGGAAAACAAAACTGCCCACTCACAGATTACATCGACGTCTCGTAAGTCCCTGAGCATCCCTTGGCCATGCCCGATGCCCGCATAAACCTCACCTATACAAAAGTAACCATTTTGACGTTATTTAACGCCTAACCCAAATCTTAGTTAATAACTCCTCATATATTGCTCAAATTGGGTATATGAATATACCACCGTGACCTACACAACCTCAGGATCATCCCCATATTTTTAAAATAATTTTTGGAGGTCTCATGCGCCCCCACGTGCCTGACGTGGCACGGACCTACGCGCCCCCCACGCGCGGCCACGTGACATGCACACTGACGGCTACAGTGAACGGCGTTAGGGAATATTCCGTCAAATCCTAGTATATTCCGTTAAAAACTAACGGTTTCCGTTAAAACTGACTAACGGCGTCAGAATATTCCGTCAAACTTGACGGAATATTCCGTCACCTTCAACCTTCAGCTCCGGCGACCGTCGCCGGCGCCGGAAACTGGGTAATTTTTCAAATTCACTAATCTCCTTCGTTTTTCGTCCAATTTCTTCGAATTTTACACCAAAATGAAGCATTTAACATGTACTATCATGTTGGAAGGTTTTTAAACCTTAAAAACAACAAGATCATACCTTCCAAAATTCCTTAAATTCGGCCAAACTCGAAACCAGTGATCCCGATATCCATTTTGTTCAAACGAGGCACTCCGAGCCTCCTCGTGACCTCCTTAAGCTCACTGTGAGCTTGTTTTAGCCTAAAACATAGTCATTTAGAAGGTCATGAATAGTGCCATTTCACGGGGTCTTTAGAAACTAGGGTTTTTGAAATGGAACTCACCTGAATTTGGTATCCCCGAGCTCGTGAAGTTCCCAAGATCACGATGGCGATCTTAGATTGGACGTTCGTGTAGAATTGTGGTTGTTCTTGGTGTTTGCCGTGAGTTCGAGAGTAAGAGAGAGAGTGAGAGAGAGTCTGAAATGAAAGAAGAAGAGAGAAGAAAGATTACGGGTTTTAGGGAGTGTTTTGAGGGTAGGAGGTCCTACCTAAGTCCAAATATAATTTAACACATACAAATATAAATCTAACCCTAGTTTAGGATCTTAAAGTAAAACAAACACCAAAATTACGCACCTTAATCCCGTTTAAGGGCGTTTTTGTAATTTCACGTCCTCGGTATTTAGTAATTCTGGGACGGGCTGTGACATTCACCCCCTTAGTGTAGATAATATCGTTTGTTAAAAAAATAATAAAAACAAACTTTAGCACTCACTGATAGCATGTTTACAAATGTCATTAAGGATAAGTAAAAATAGTTACAAACATAATCTTCACTAAATAATCAAAAGCAATTATATCTTAAATAACCAAACATGAAAAAAAAAACTTCAAAACTCTAACTTTAAAGTTTCACTCTAATATGTAACATTATTGTACAATAAAATTAAGAAACTATCATTCCTTAGGATGTTATTATTGACACTCAAAATATCTCATTGTACTCCAAGTTTTTATATTTAGAAAGAAAAAAACTACTCTTATAAAGAGTGCATAATGTTGTTCTAAAATGCAAACAATAGCAATTTTTTAAGGGAATTGTTATTGGCACTTCAAAAATCTGATTTTGCGCTCCAAACTTTCTATAATTAGAAAGAAAAATACATTTGTTAGGAGTGTAAAATAAGATTCTTGAAATGTTAATAACAATTCATTTTTTTTAATATAGAACATATTACAGGGCCCCTTCAAATTTGGGGACATGTGCAACTCCACCTTACACTCCCCCCAACGCCCCTTTTGTGCTTGAGCATTGTCTTTTCTAATTCAACACCCAAAGAAAATGCCAATACTTAAAGAGTAATGTTCTTCAAATCATGTTTTTATGCCACATTTTCATACCACCTTAGGTGGCATCTGATGTGGACAGCCACATCTTTTGAAAAATTTGCAAAACCCAAAGAAAGGAAGAAGAAAGACTCCTCGTATACTACATTAATCATCATTTAATTAACTAGTTTTTCTTAATTATTAATTTATTAAATAATGAACTAAATTTAAAAATCTGATTAATTTAAACTGAAAATATGAGTATACCCCTTGGAATTCAATTTTCATCTGAAAATATGAGTATACCCCTTGGAATTCAATTTTCATTAACTAAAACCCCCAATTGTAAAATTTTCTAATAAAAACCCAATGACTAGGCTCCAACTAAGCAATATCCATAATTAAGTATGACTTGGCAAAATTGGTATTTTTAGATGTCTAAATTACCCCTAATATTATTGACTTTGGGTTTATTACTTGTTATCAACATTTATTTTATATTATTTCATTCAATTAAA